AATTTTCGTTATAACAGAAAAATCTTTACCATCAAAAAAGAGTAAATCTGGACAACAGTCCACAAACGAACCGTTGCCATCACACATTATAAATCAAATCGAATCAATTATCGAACCTATAATATCTGGAATATATTTCTCTTCGATTGAAACTTTAACAAAACGACATTGTATCCCTATACTCGATTCATGTTATGTGATTTCAGAAAGAAATACATTTTGTAATCTTTTAATTCGGGATCGATCCAATAATAAAGATAATAAAATGTTTAAAGAATTTGAACTAGAATATTCTCGTTATATCACTCTTGATAATTACCCCATTCATTCATTTAGTCAAAAAGGAATATCAATTTATACCACTTTGGATTTTCCATTAGGATTTTCAATTGTGGAAAATCAGCTGTTTGATACTCTCCAGTTTCTTATTGAATGCTTGACGCTAATTATTCAAAATATCAATAAAGAGAATGAGCAAAAAAATAAATCAGTTACAACATCTGTATCATTAACGCTCTCAAAACATATGAACGATGCACAATATGTAACCAAGACTTTATTAGCTTTACTTTCTAGATTTGACCAGAAATTGAGGCATCAATTTGAATCCATTGGAAAAAACTTTACAACCAATCATAACAATAAAGAAGAAATTATTAATAAATTAGTTCGTGATTTATTTAATGGATGTCTGATAATTTGCTCCGATAATACTTATATTAAGGATGTAAGGCAATTGGTTGGAATGTCTATTGCAGCAACTTTGAATTTGTTAGGTCCGCCACAATTTGTCAGCAATCAAGTTGTTACCATGTTTTTCGCAAAAGATATTAATGAAGAAGAGCAACAAAATAATTTGAATTTTATGAGTCATTTGGGTGTTCGAATACCAGATATTTTATTTAAAGAGATTAGCTGGAATGGTGATGATCCTCCAATGTTAGCGATTTGTCGCGGTTTATTGTCGAATTTGGCTAGAAAGGTTTTGATTTCTCCTTTATCCGAGAAGTTTCAATTAAAAATCTCAATATTAAGGTTTGTGTATATAGATTTATTTATTTTCATCTTTTTTAAAAATAATTATCATAACTATTGATTCTATTTTTTTGTTTAGATTGAATCATTCAAATTCAAATCCAAAAACTCTTCATCATATACTCTTTCAAAGCATTGCGCATTTTTGCGATAATGCTTTAAAGTCGCAAACAAAAGTTTTGGCATTTGAAACTATGGGATTATGGCTTCAGGAATCAGAAAATATTCTTAGGGATGATGATATTAGTAAATCAATCGTTCATGATAATAATTCAATATTTAATTCACAAGTTTTAGATAAATTGATGTCATATGTTTGGAATAATTGGGAGGATCCTGTTGATGCAATTCAATATAAGGTAATATGGCTTTATACAAGTTAAAATATATGTTATTTATATTCATATATTCATATGATTCATTTTTAGGTTAAAACCATATTTGAGAAATTAATGGATGTAATGAGTCTTAAAAGTCAGCTTGAACAATCTGAGGAAATATATAATCATTACCTTATTAATTTGCTCAAACAACTATTGTCCATGGATCAATACCGAAAAGTGAAATATGCTTTGTTGTCGTCATTATTGCCTAGAGTTGGAACAAAAAAATTCTTATCAATTCAATCTGAGTTTGTTTCCCGTTCTTTGGAAGTACTACATAATTTAGTTATTGCACCACGAGCTTCTGCATTGGTGGTCTCATTCCTTGAATTACACTTAGAGGAATCACTCGCTTCTGGGCTTCGAGACGTTACTATCAAAACGAGCGAGAAACGTGAGGAATTAGTAAAAAAATGGGATGAGTTATGGTTGGCACCTGTCTGCCAAGATCTTTCCTCAAAAGATGATATCCTTCGCAAAAATATTGGTGGATTCATCCTTCATCCGTTATTTAAAGCAAGTCCACCATCGTTTTGGAGAATTATCGATATCCTTCAAGATGACAAGTGTAGTAACGAATTTATAAGTGATGAACAATATAGGTTAAATGCCCTGATCATGGTCATAAAAGTGGGTAGATCGTTGGATTTTGTTGATGGGAATATATTCATTGAAAGTAAGATGCAGTTGCATAGTTTATCTTTCTAATTTATTTTTGAATTTTATTAATTAAATTAAATCTTTCCCAGATCCCATTGAAGGGAATCGAAGGCAGATTCGGTTACAACCTCTCCATGATGCTATTTATCATTTGGATTTAAATATTAGAATTGATGCACTTGGATTAATTTGTGAGTCAAGAAAGTCAACAAACGAAATTACTTCAACTGAAATCAAGCTTCTTGAATCTTTTTTTAAATTGAACCTTAATTCAACATCCCCAGAGTTTAGGCAAAAACTTTTTGGTCATTTGAATAAATTCTTCACAAGACTTAGAAGCAATTTATATAGTCAATGGAAAGATTATCAATCTCAAATGAGATATGTGAAGAGTCATCATGGTTCGAAAGTTCAAGATGCAGGATTAGAAGCAGATCAACTAAAACAAAAAATTGATCATTCTCAAGAATTTTTGAATTGGCTAATAGAATTATTAGCAGCTTCACTTTATCCTGGGTCGTCATTTCAAAGAGTTTCTAGTACACTTAGGATATTTATTATTTTAATTAAAGTATTTGGCATTGAGGAAACCCCATTGCCTGAAGGATTTGTAGCTCAGCATTGCAAGACACCTACATTCCCATTTCAATTGCCACTTGCTTCAGTGAGAAATACAAATTTAATATTGCACTGCCTTATGAATCCTTTTGATGAAAATCGCATGTTAGCATACGAAATTCTTCAGAGTTTTCCTTCACCATTGCCAGGGATCGAATCAAAGGATGTTATTCAGAAAATTTTGCTTTGGGCGCTGCAATCTATGACAAGTGCCAGAGCTGGTGAAAGTGATAGTGGTGCAATGATTTTTCGATTGATCTTCTCCAAATATGTTTGGAATTTAGGTTTTTTCCTTGATGTTGGAATTGAGAAAAATGAATCATTGGAATACTATAAAGAAGTTAATATACCTTCAAGTAATGAATATTTTAACATTTTCGTGTTTAATTTTATTTTTAAAGGGTGATTAATCCTAACAAATATTTTGCAGTCAATTTCACAAGGAAGCTTCTAATTCTATTAAAGGAGCAACTTAATATCGCTTCTGGAAATCTATTGCTCGCTTCACAAAAGTTTCCAATACATGGAACTTTACTAGCACTGCATTATGTCTTTAAAGAATTGGATTATAGTTCTGTAGGATTAAAAAATAATTTGGAAGAATGGCGAAACATTCATAATCATGTTATTGATTTGATTAATGATAGTTGTCAAATTGTATTGGACGTATTAACAAATTCTTCGCCAGAAGGCAATTTACCGGCATCATTTCAAGAGATGGAAGAAACGATTGATGATTTGGTTTTAAATTCAAGCGAAGATCTCGATTGTGAAGAAGGTGGTCCGAAACATCAAGTCATTCTTAGTTTTTGTTGGAGAGCTGTGAAAGAGGCAAGGTTCTTATATATAAATTATAAATGTGTAATATGTTTTTTTTAATGTTTTATAGTAATAATCAATGAAAATTTTGTAGTTCTCTTCTTGCCATAATTTTATCAAGAGCTCCAATAGCCGTTAATTTGGAAAATAACGTATGTATAGAAGCTACGCCAGGTACTTTGATATCGCTATATTGAATATATATTTTTTTTGTATTAGTTTTCGATACTCAATTATGAGAAAGTACGTAAAGGTGGTGAATTGTTTCGAACATTGTTGACATCTATACGTCACCGAGGCGCATTTTCTGCAGTATATCCTGGTTATGTAGCTGTTTGTGCTAGACTTCTAAATTCATCGCTAGTTAAATTTGCAGAATTACCAAAAATATGGCTAGAGGTATAGTTAAAGTTATGCAATCTCTTTTGAAATTTTTTTTTACATAAGCATTGATGATTTTTTTTTGAATTAGAATAGCATCAGTAACATCAATACCAATTCAATTTCGATTACACGTAGAAGTGCAGGACTTCCGTTATGTATTTTAGCTATTGTCAGTAGCGAACCTAATAACTGTAAAGTTTTGCTTCCTTGGAATATGAAAGCTCTCATTGAGATAGGATCACAAAATCCTTCGGAGGATTTTAATCAAACCATTGATTTGCCTCAGGTTCATGCTTTTAATATATTGAGAACGATTTTCATGGATGCTAAACTTGGAACTGATGTTTTACCATATGTTTCTGATGGATTTACTTTAGCAATCAAAGGATTTTCTTCACCAAGGTTTTTATTTTTATTTTAAAATTTCTTTTTATCAAAATATAGTTTAATTAATCATATTTCAATTATATTTTCAGTTGGGCAGTTAGAAATTGCTCAGTCATGCTATTTTCGACTTTATTACAAAGGACATTTGGTTCAAAGAAAACAAAGGATGAACATCATTCAATTAATAAATTAACTGGAAGAGAATTTTTTTCAAGATTTCCTCTACTTTATCCATTTTTGTTGGATGAACTCAAAATTGCTGTGGCTCAATTGATTGAATCGATTAATGTAAATATATAGATATATATAATTTTCTTGCTTATTACTTACGTTGTTAATGCTACCTATCTTATATATTTAATAGGTCTTTGTTCATCCGGGTCTTTATCCTATCCTTACTCTCTTATCAAGACTTCATCCTTTAATGGATGATTCTAATTCTGTATTGGCCATGAGCCCATTTGTATCTTTGGTTTTATCTTGCGTTTATTCACCATTTTACAAGGTATTTTGAAAGAAAGTTTTGTAATTATAATTCAATTCGGTTTAAAACATATTAATCGATCATCCTTTTTTTTAAAAAAAAAAAAGACGAGAGAAATGGCAGCAAGAGCGATTGTTCCACTAATCCCATCCAATGGTCTCATTGTAACTTGCATTAATTTGCTAAGTGAAGCTTCTATGTCTAATCAGAATGAATTACATGGAAGATTAGTTCAGGTTCAATATTTGATGCGCGGACATTTACGTGGAAATGTCGCTAATTTTGACATCATGAAAGGTGATTTACATGTTAAGAAGCTATTTTCTTAAAATTTACAATCGGACCTTTTATTAAATTTTAATGAATTCTATTTATTAACAAATTTAAAGATGTTGTAATTAAAATGGCTCCGGTCTTTTGGTCAAAGATTCGTTTTGCATCTAGAGAGAATTCTTGCAGCATTACAAGATATTTATTATTAGATATATTATACGAATTTGTATTTAACAGTAATTGGGTCTTTATTGAGCAAGATAAACGTTTAGGTAAATTAAAATCTCTGCATTTCCTCGCTGTAGGATATTATTATGGGTTTAACTTTCGCAATATATAACAGAGTTATTAGGATTGATGGATGATAAATTTTCGGAAATAAGACAGTTCTTATTTGACATGTCTTTGTGTGATTTGCCTAACACGAGTCGAAATACAGACGTTTTCAAAGTTGGTTGTCATCTTGTACGTCAACAGATGACAAGAATTATAATCAAATCTCTTCTTAGTCAAGAAAGTCCCGAACATACGTCAATAATTATTGATATCTTAAGTGATTCGGAATATGAAGTTAGACTCGTTTGTTTAGAAATGATTATTGATTTCTTCAATTCTTCAAGCGATAATAAGGAAATTTGGTAGGTCCTTTGATTTAAACAATTTTCAGTTCTTGAAATCAACTTTATAACTTATTTTGGTTTATATAGCATTGATAAATTAACCCTTCAATGCAAGATAATTGAGATGATATTTCGAGAGGAATCCTATCCCAATTGTTTTCGGAATGCAATTGGATTACTTACTTTAATAGATTTAGAACATCCATTCCCAAAATTAACTTCTAAAAAATCTTTAAATTTCGGGTTAGAAGAATTTTGGAAAAAATTGTTTAACCACTTGGAGCATTCAAAAAGTTCGACTATAATTGAAGCAATATTACCACTTCTAGGATCTTTATCATCTCAAGTATTTATTATACAAAAAACTTATTTTTATAAATCTTATAAGTTCTAATACATCTTACCTTAAATAACAGATTTGGCGAGTTAATTCATTATCTGAAAACTTTAAATCTGAAAGTCTAAATCAATGGTGTGAATACATTAACAATAATACCAAACCTGAAGTTGTACGTATATGTAATATATTGAATTTACCCGTAATTTTACGTATTTTGATGTTAATGAAAATTGAATAATCTTAACAGAGTTTGTTATTACGTGAAGCTTCGACAAGATCTCTGGAATTATTCAGTCAACATTTATTTAAGGAATCTAAATTTCTCAAAAGTGAGGATATCCAACAGGTTATAACTTTATATCTGGTTTTAGCTCGAATTGCACAGGTGAGTAACGAGGCATAAGCTATATCGGTCTATTGAATTATCTGTTATAATCTTTTACAATTCTTTGTTTAGGATGATGATATAGATTTACGTCATTCCGCAGCTTTGATAGTATCAAAATCAAGTGGATTAAAGGTAAGTTCTAAGAAGTCGACAATTAGATGAATACACGTATTAATCATCAGCATCTTCACAAAGGTACCGGTCGATTGTGATCGCGCGCGTGAAATATGTTATGAACATATGACCAAGATGTATTCGAAGTCATTTCATTTATATGTAGCGTTACTTCAGACAATCACCGGAAATGAAAAACCTGGTATTTAAAAATATCCTATTTCTTTTTACTGATATTATCATGTGTAATCATCATTAAAAGATGCGAATTAATCCTCGCAGATGAAATTCTTGAAGCTGAAATGAACCCAACTAGAGTCCTCTTTGCTGTAGAGAATCCAAATATTTATAAAGACGACTTGATTGATATTCAACTAGCATATAAACATATGAAATTTGCTTTTAATAAAGAAGGAAATATTTTAGATTTCCCGGATGTTTTTAAACGGGACATTCCAAGGTTTTCGGTTGAACAACTTCGGAAAGTTTGTGAATTCTTAAACAATGTGGAAGTAAAGGTTGGTATATAAAAAATTATGAAGATGCTTTAAACATATAGGACGATGTTTACTTAATAGTAATTAACCCCTATATATAATTAGAACAAAAATAATGGTGTTTTAGGATTTACTTCGCGTTCTATTACGTTTACTGTTGTTTACAGGGTAATCATTACAGTTTTGGCGATGATGGAGATAGCATCAAACAAACAAGAAATCATAAAAGGTATGTAATCCTTACTCGATTTAATAAATGATTTATATTGAATTAATCGATTTTGCTTTATCAACTCAATCCATTCCAATCCGATTATAAGAAATCGAATTAATAAGGCAAGAATTAGTACAAGATAATATTCAATTACACCCAATATTGAAAAATATACTGTTTAAAGATTTTATTCATGATATTGATGAAAAGGAATTTGATAGAGTATTTCTTTTATCGAATTAATTGTTTAACCTCAATGATAAGTTTTTCATACGTTTATTAAGAGAAAAAAAGTTTCTATACTAGCATTTTTTTATGATCACTGTTTTGCTGAAAAAGACACTTCATCTCCCAGATATGATTGAAGATACACCAAAATAATACATTATAGAATAATAATAAAGGGATAGAATAAATTTATTCAATATCAAAAAATTTTTAATATTTGGTTTAAAACGGATTTATTTAAGAATAGCTCTGCTTTGAAAACCAGCTTCTTGACAGAGATTGTCTTTATTTAACATATATGCTGTTATCTATTGTTAAATAAAGTTATAAAGTAAACTTGTCCGATATACTATATTTTATAAATTATTTATTATTAAAATATTTAGTAAGAATATCAATTTTGCTTTCGCTTATTAAGTTTTTTGGCTTTCTTTGCTTCAATTCCCGCTATTGTCTTTGCTTTAATGTACTCATCATCAAATTGATGCTCAATATATTCTTTATACGGGGGTAATACTCGAGTCCAATAGTTAATGTCTGGAATATATGATTTGTGCGCTGTTATCATTCGGTATACTTTCTGACGATTTGGGAACCAATGAGCATTGTCAATAAATTTGGCCAATTTTACTAATAAATAAAAAAAATTTTTTTTTTTTGGATATTGTTAGTTCCATTCGAATAATGCTGTATCGTTTTTATAAACGAGTCACGTACCAGGATCCTCAGGGTGCTTTGGTTTATCTGCAAATAAAGTAACGCCTTGCCATGTTCCTGACATGACCATTTCAATTTTTTCTTTGGCTAAAGACATATTTGGTTTTTGCAACGATTTAAGTATTTTCCCATGTAACTTGTTTCCTCTGAATTTCACTTCTATTAATAAGAGACCTGCCGCTTCTTCGATTTTATCAAGTTTCCAGAAAGAACTACCGACAATGTCATCTTTTTGACTTGTATACAATTTTATTACATCATTGGTTTTCTTTTTCAAAGCATTAGAAACATATTCATTAAAATGAGCAGCAAGCAGTACATCTGCGGTATCTTCAGAGAATGGTTCATAATATTTAGGTGGATCGGCCTCAACGGCTTCACGTCTAACTGAATTTTGTCGATGTAAGAACGCTTGCAAGAAAGTTGCCAGTATCACTTTTGAACTGTATTGATCAAAGAAAGCATCGGTAAGGGGTGTTTTGTCCTCTTCAAATTCAAATTCCGGACTATCCAAAAATGATGAATTAGTATTAGGATCTGCTATTATTGTCTCAAAAATTTTGTTAAATCGCAACATAACCTCTACGAATCTAGAAACAGATTTTTTAATTTTGGCGATTATACTGAAAGCATGATCGGGAATTTTATAAGTATTAGGATCGTATTGAAGTGTTTTGACCGTCGGTGATTTGAGCTCTACTTTCGGTTCATCCATTGTTTCGACATCAACATTGACTTCATTTAAATCAGCAGAATCACCAAGAGCTTTCCTAAATGCGTCCGCATAAATAATATTTGCACTCTTATCAGAAGACATAATAGCCGTAACAAATGCTACATAATGCTTTTCAAATTCTTTAACAGGCTCATCGATAAAAACATTTTGATTGATTCCCAAGACTTTGGAAATGTCTTCCATCTCCGATTCGAGCGCTTGCCATTTGTTCAGTCTTCTACGAATGAACTCTTCAATCAAAATCTTCATTAAACCTTCATGTAACCATTTTTGCAAATCTTTTGCGTCAACATCTCCACATCGCAAAGCACAAAGCAGGTGTCCAAGGAACATTAAATTATTTGGCACATGTTCAATTGTTCTGTTTGTTGGGATCTTTATGTAGTTTTCAAAGAGTTTCTTGTTATCCTCGCGAAGAATCTTGGATTGTTTATAAATCACGTCACAAGTTTCCAAAACCCATTTGGCTTGACGTCTCTTAAACTCCGTTGAAGTGTCGGCAAGTGCTTTGAACAATACCAAGAATGGAACTGTGGTGATTTGACTATACGTGTAACCAAAAATATCGAGAGTTACCAAATATCCAATAATAGGCTAAGGGAAATAAAAAATCTTTCGAATGAGCATTTATTTATTAAAAGATTTTCAAAATTGCATTTCGTTTACCTTAATTTTTTCCCGAGCAATTGACCAATGTTTGTCATTAATGTATAACGGAAGAACCCCTGTTATTATTAAATAGTTATTCGATTAAATTTTAAACTAAAAAATTAAATTTACATAAATTCAATTGAATGAGATACGAACCAGTTATATTTTCGCGAGCTAATCCTTGAAGAATACTAGCACCAAATGTCCCTCTTTGAAATCCACCATGAACTGATTGGGCATCATATTTATCAGCCAAGGCAAATGTAATTGAATCTAAGAAAGCACCAGAACTTAAAAGGGTCTGATTTATTTTTTTAATTGTAATTTGAGATGGATCCGCTATAGCAGCTTCGGATCTTTCGACGTCAAGGGTTAAACATATGCACTCTCCCTCTTTCATGGCTTCAATATAATTATCTAATTATACAGTCAAGTAAATAAGGTTACAGGTTATTAGAAATGTATGAGCAGATAACTGAACATATGTAAGCTTTTATATATATATACCTGTTGTAACCGTGCAGGTATAAGTTAACAAATTTTCTTCGGACTCCTGGCTCTCTAACTCATCAAAGTCCAATGTACGAACGATTTCCTCAATTTTCTTTTCAACCTCCTCCATTCTTTCGATGTTCTTGACGGAACGGTCATCGAGCTTCTTTTTTAATCGTTGCTTTGTGATAAATTTATATGCCAAATTGTTAAAACTAGCAATCTTTTGGTTTGTTAACGTTCCTTTTAAAGCGCTAAATTTCCGATAAATCTTGTTAGGTTTATGAATCTTTACAAAAGTATCTTTTTGAAGAGTTGGGAGCACAAAAATATATATATATATATATTGACAAGACTTACTCAGATAATATATCTTTAAATTGTAAAATTGTACCCTTCGAATCCATGCATTGTTGAATTATTTCATTTCGAGTCGCAGACTTTGTTTTGAAAGCGGTATTTAAAATATTGTTCAATTGTTCATCATAATTGTTTGCTTCCTCCAAAATCTCCTTAAAACGCTTGCGTCTTTCCTCTTCAATAACAATCGTGCAATTGATTATTTCGTTTGAAAGACGCGTAATTTCAAATTGGATAAATGGAATCGTTAACAATGTGGCCATATGATCATCGGGTTGGATTTGAATTGGGGTAGATTCAAAATCAAATTTTTCATTGCTCTCTTGATCTTTGAATATCGAAATCTTTTGTCCTTCAACTTTAGCGACGTCACCCGTGAGAACCAATTGTCCATGACCTTCGTTATCAAATCCGATGGGCAAGAGTTCACGTTCTCCCAACTTCATATAAAGAGTGCGATCACCTAATTCCAACAACTCCAACGTAATTTTCATTGTTGATTTGATTTCGTCTGAAGATTTCACATATTGAAAGTTTCCTTGCTTTGTACCAAGTTTCGTTAACCATGAAAGGAGAGCTATTATTGTACAAGTAAATTCGCGTTAGAAATAATTACATTAAAAAAAAAATAGTGTAATCATTATCATGGATTTACCGGCATCATGATTTCCGGTGAATCCAATCGTGTGAATTTCTGTATTGAATCCGGTCTGGGATAACGCGACTTCAAGTTTCTGTTTGCAATCGTCAGAATAACGGCCTTGTCCATCAGTAAAGAAGATGATGGCCAAATCCGAATTAACATCATTCATTTGTTCAACAATCATTTCAAATACAGGATCAAAATTCGTTCCTTAATATAAAAAAAAAAATATCATTTTTAACAAAAGATATAAGAATGATATTACAAGAGGCATGACCTGAAACGAATTAATTACCTCCAAAAGCTCTAATACTTTCAAAAAACTTTTCAATGGCACCATTTTTCCATAATAGGCTTCGATCGTCGGCAAACCTCTTAACTTGACAAGTTGATTGAAAGAAAAAACATGTGATATTCTCTTCGGTAAGTATACAATTTTCAAATAATGATTCCATTAAATTGAGAATGGATTCTTTGGCTTGACTCAACCCGGATCCAGACATCGAAGCTAATTGAATTGAATTAAATCATGAAGAAATAACGAACGTGAGAGGAAAGACATTTTCAGAAAAAGTTAAGGATGTACAAAGTCTTTAATTACTTGAGATATCAAGGACGATATATAGTTTGAGCTCACGCCTCTTTCCTTCAAACCATTTAGATATTACATTTTCAGGTACTTTAAGGGACAAGATACTTTTTTCATTCGTCAAGTTAAGATATTTAGTTTCTGACGTTTGAATTTCCATGTTCAAAGAAGTTAGTTATATTATTATATAGTAAATGTAATATTTTTTTTTTTGTTTTGAAAAAGATGTAAAATCTAACGTAAAGATAATCAAAAAAAATTATCCTTTATATATAAAGTTAATGGCTGCGCATAATTATCAAAAAATTATTGCGGATAATTAATCAGAGTTAACTTAAAAAGGTCAAACGTTCAATGAAAATTATTATTGAACGCAGTAATGCTGCGTTAATCTTGTAAATAAGGGACAAAAGGCGTATTTTTGATTAATATCAATAATGGCTTTGTATGTTTTTATTCGTTATAATTAGTAGTACCAGTCGTGACAAATTCTGGATCTTAATAATTATCAAAAATTTTTAAAATTTAATTAATGTTGCAAAAAAAATAGATAATTATAAGTTTCATCTTGGCATGAATCCCATTTGACTAAAAATTTGAAGTTTTTATTTAATTAAAAATTTCACAATATTCTGGACCTTATATCAAATTTGGAACAGTGACTCAGTCATGGCTCAGTCATTGAAAATTCCGAAGTCGACTCTAAATGATTTTTTGCAGAGTCGACTCAGCCGTCGACTCTGACTTCAACGGCTGGTACTACTAGTTATAATTTATACCGCAACGGAAATTTAAATAAACTTGGAAGGGTTGAACAAGATTTTTGTAAAAATTCACTATTTGAAAGATTTTTGTCGTTACGATACGATATGCCCGATAAAACGGATAACTGTGGCGAGTAAATATTACGTAATGGATATTAATCAAAAGTATAATATCAGATAGAATGAAATTGCGTGATATGACTTTTTTTTGAAAAGAAGTATACCAATCCCTAGAAAGTAACGATACCAACTTTACTTTTTTTAGTAAATGATTTTTTAAAAAAAAATTTCTTGGCATTAGGGTAATAAAAAAATCTATTTTAAACTTATTGATGAATTAAATCTTCCAAAAAAAGAATTCGGGTAATTTTTCATGCTTTACAGCTCATTTTTATACCGTAAAGAACATCAATTCCTTTTATTATATACAAATAAAAATTGGTTTAATTATAGATGATGACATTCAATCATAAATGATTGGTGATATTTTCGATCCCTTTTTTCTTACTTTTGGTTAATAAAGAAACCTACTAATACTGAAAAAGGGTAAAATAAATTAATCGTAGGGGATGTAATTAGCCCAGATCCATTTTTAACAATTGATATAAATATGAGACACATACATAAGTAATCGCTCCCTCAGAATTCAAGGACTTTTATTTATAATATATAATAATAATATAATAATAAATAAATTATATTTAAAAAAAAAAATTAAAATTAAAATAAAAAAATGAAACTCAAGAGATATCAATCGTTAATGATATTATTGGTCGTACTAGTAACTCTTTTAATCACTACTAGTACGGCAAATCTAATATCATTGAATAAGAAATGTTTATATAAACGACAAGACCCAGGAGAACCTGGTAAAACTCCGCCAACGCCATCTCCCAACACGCCACCTTTCGATGGCAAATCTCCAGACGCACAACCACCCTCGGATGGCAAAACTCCCGACACACCTCCGTCAGATGGCAAAACTCCAGAAACACCTCCGTCAGATGGCAAAACTCCAGAAACACCTCCGTCAGATGGCAAGACTCCAGAAACACCTCCGTCAGATGGAAAGGCTCCAAACGTACCTCCGTCAGATGGAAAGGCTCCAAACGTACCTCCATCAGATGGAAAGACTCCCGAAATACCGCCTTCAGACGGCAAGACTCCCAACACACCTCCATCAGATGGCAAAACTCCCAACGCACCTCCATCAGATGGCAAAACTCCCAACGCACCTCCATCAGATGGCAAAACTCCCAACACGCCTCCATCAGATGGCAAAACTCCTGACACACCTACGTCAGATGGCAAAACTCCAAGCTCTCCACCAGCGTAAGATAAATTTTTATTTTTTAACAAAACAAAAAGGAAAAATTTTCAATTATATCTATATACTTATTTATCATTGTAGTGAAAAAACTCAATTTGAAACAACAACATTACCAGACGTGACTATAACTCCAACGCCTACATTAACTTCAAATAATGATCATTCAAAAGACAACCAAAAACACATATCAAGGTTCACAACATACTTTACTTCGTACTACTCAGTTATACCAGGTACAACCAAAATGATTACCACAACAAACGAAGCTGGTGAACCTACCACTCTCGCTACGTATGTTCCTCCATCAACAGTTTTGGTGGTTCAACAAGTGGTATCACCAATTTCAGATTCAGATTCAATAGATAATGGAAGCGGTAACATATTGAACGTACAAGGTTTATGGGGGATTGGAATGAGCATAACGGTGGTTTGTTTTAGCATGTTGTATATGGTTCTTGCATAATACCGATTATGGTTAATCTTGATTAGATTTTTTTTTAAAAAAGATTTTTTAATTTAATTATTAATTTTTTATTACCAATAAATTAATCCACAACCAAAATCCCATTGGCCATTACCCATCAACTCCAGCAAACCTTTGGTATCATTAGCAAAGCCATGTATGAATTTATCCAATAAAAAAAAATCTCCAAAAAACTTTTACCAAAGAAAGTGAATAAATTACTTATATATATTGTACTGTTTCTTAAGATAATAAAAGTGATGGGTAAGAAAGAATGTATGGATGATATTTGTTAGTTTCTTTCGTCAATTCGACATTAAAGAACGAAAAAATAGCGGAAATCATTATGGAATAACGTTCAAAACATAATTCATTTCCCAAGATTTCAGGAGTTACCACGATCCAACTTGCGAGATAATGATCTTATTTAGTAGGAATATCATTGATATGTTACGAGATAACCAATATACATCGCGTAAATAATAAAGAACCAAAAGGTTGTCAACGGAGAAATAAAAAAAAGTAATCGTTATTCATAACATAAGTTAATACTATTGTCAATAATTTAATCTGATTATCACGTAAACGAAACGATTAAATCCGAACGACTTTTTTTTAATAATAAATAATGATATACGAGTAAAGCCAATTGCATCCATCCACTCATCATTCACTGACCGATCAAATAAGCATCATGAAATGGTAGACGTTATATTGTTCTTGAGATTTAGAGAAAAGTAAAGAACGATCAGAGCCATACAATTATCTATAGTGAAATGGAAATTCTTTTTTAATGTTCTAATAAGACGAACTTCATAACTTTTAAAAATTCATTTGCGGATATCTGTTACAACATTGGTGCTTTCTTAGGCAATACATTATTACACCTATTATGTCTGTATTCGCAGATAAATGATCAATTGCTTCAATTATTTTTCAAGTACGAATATCTTTCCTCTTTAACTTTTACATATTCCATAAATTTCTTTATCCGGTTCAGAAATTTCGTCCATCCATTTTAAGAAATATATATAATTATCTTATAATAAAATTTGCGATAGTCAAAGCAGTTATTTGACCTTTGAGAAAATCTTAAAATCCGGCACGTGACTCGTTAACGCAGTAAATCCTGTCGCATTTGGCACATTAATGAAAAATACGAAACGGCATTACCTTTTACGCATTAAAATAATGTATCGTAGATCATTGAAATATTTAAGGATCAAGGCAAGGAGACCACTCATATACCTTCAAGTATACCGGTAATATAACCTTTGCGTAGATCTACCAGAAGAATTTACCTCAACACATTATACTTTAGGCTACCTTATGATCTTATATGATGTACTTTATTTAATACAGGCATGCCAAAAAAGCAATCACCGATTTTCAGAACTAATATTAGTTGTTTATTAATGAAATAAAATATTTTGCTAAATTTTATATTTGTAATAAATTCTAAAAGTGGTTTAACATATTCCTTATTTAAAAATAATTTTTTATGCATATTATCCACTAATCCATATACATTATTACCTAAACTTATAATGTTCAAGATCAATCCACCTATAATGCATGTACATATACTTGATATTATAAACATGAAAGCTATTATCCCAAGGAAATTTCTTTTTTGTAATAATACCAACCAGATAAATAAAATACAATGTTCCTTGTGAGTGTACCAATATCTACTTGCTGAATCCATTTCACCACACTTTTGATGATGATCTGAATCTTATCCAATGCTGATTTTATAAGAATACCCCAAGGATATAACAGAATTGCATAAGAAGCCCCCAGATTTCCACTACCACATAATTTAATGGTATATGAATGTGTTAACTCATTCAACATTTCTTAATGGAAATGTAATGCTAAATTGTGGTAGGTCAGTTGATTCAATTCCTTCAATTCCTTTAAATACATTTTCTTCTTCATCATTTAAAATAATTGTACCAATGTGTGAGTTGTAATTTTTAGATTTCTTTAATCTTTCTATCTCATGTTCAAGAAATAAAAGACGACGGTTTGTATGAATAAGTTCTATAATGTACAAAGTATGGTGTAAATTAATTGTTAGAAAAAATATAACAAATAATCTCGAATAACTGAAAATTCATAAATCAAATCTATCTAATTTTTCGTATATTTTTTTACACAATTTGTTCATTACCTTCTCCTTTTCCAAATTCGGCTAATTTTTTTGCAAATATATCACCCGCTCTCTCCAATCCTTCTCCTTCTTCGTCAACACTTCTTTTTCTTTGTACAATCTGTCCATTCGTTTTTCCAAAGTCGCCTGCTTTACTTCGCTCAAGTTTCCCTCCCACAACTCTATTTCCCACTCTTCCCTTTATACTTCCCCTCCTTCCACTCTTCCAATTTCCTCTTTACCTCTTCGTGCTCCTTCGCCGCCTTCTCCAAATGTTGTTCGATTTTTTCAAAAGATTGCCATTTTTAAAAAAAATGATTTAGATCGTAATGGTTTACAATTAATTATAATTTGGAAATAGAGGACACATGACTTGGTATCAGTCAATAAAAAGGATCCGTCGATTTTTGAATCATATTTGCTCCCCAAGTTGCTGAATCTAAGCAAATATAAGTTCAATATAAACTGTTACATTAAGCGATAGTCAATATCGGATATTTAATTTAAAAAAAAATAAAACCTGTTCCTAATTTGTTAAAACCAAATAAAGTATTTTGTACGATTATGCTGTGTTTCGAGAAAATCTCGTTTATCATTTCCATATATGATTCATGAGTGCAACAGGTTAAAATGGTGGTTAAACTAACATATTTTTTTTTTTTGAGGTTATTTCAGAATGTACATTAATACCTTACTTAAAAGACTACTTCTTCTTTCCCTGTTGGTTTACCAAGGTAACGTATCCGCTCGGAGAATTACTTATTGTGTTTATACAAAACTAATATTTTTTTTAATACAAAAAACATTTTTTTTCGCGCGAAAACTAAATCGTTTCGCGTAATTTCGCGTTATCCTTACCCTATGCGTAATATATAGTTTTGTCAATTGATTTGGCGGATGAAGCTTTAGAACCATATATTTATGATAAGTTATCACCAATAGCATGTTCTCGTTCATTAAATTCAACTAGTGTAATAGGATGTCAATGTACGTAACTTTACTTCGATTTTATTGATTATTTTTGGATCAAATTTTTTATAACTCTTAAAAACTCTCCTTCTAAAGCCTTAACCTCGAGAAATGGAATATTGATATTAACCAAAACGCAAGAATCATTAGATGATTTTATAAGTTCAAAACGAAAAGGAAAATATATTGTAATTCTACCATACGAATTAATGACAAAGTAAGTCGTTTGACACAATCTATTACGAAAACCTATTTATTTTTAAAAATACAGATACCGACTAATCTTTTTTATATATTTGTTTTCCTTTGGAACCCTCCAATATTTTTAGCAAGAATTTAAGGTTGCTTGAATCGTCAGGAAAGATGTCCAGTGTATTAGCATTAATAAATGGTACAGATCCAAATTCACCAGATTCTTCTCCTATAATACCACGACCAATTGATTTGTCTCCAGATGAAAAATGCCCAAATTGTCAATTTGATTTATATAGAAATGATCAAAGTAGGTATCATTGGAACCCAAAAGTAAGTTAACTGCTTTGAAATTTAATTTTAAGAAATATTGAGAGAAAGGAGACTTAAAAAGAAATATTTCTTTTTTGTAGGGATTGGAAATTCTTCAAGAAAGTTATGAATTTCCTATATTTGCATTATATCCTTATGATAATTCATCCACGATCACTTATGAAGAAATCATAAAGGTTGGTTCATATCTCAAATTTGTGAAAATTCGATACATCATTTTCTAACTTAACTTGTTTTTAGGGAGCGAACTTTAACGAAAAAAATGCATTTGAAAATTTTCCATTAAAAGCTGCAGAACTAAAATCAATAATGTTTGCAGCAATAGATGCATCTACGTGTTTAAGAAGAAGTATACTTTAATAATGATAATATTTTTGTTTTTGTTTTCATTTTAAGCAAATATTCTTAACCTTACATATTTTTCTCCTCTCTTTTTTTTAAAAAAAAGATTGGTGTTACCCAATAGGAGGGCATTCGGTTTATTCAACGCCGTCAGTTGATATTAATGAAAATGATGGTAAACCTATTATTGTAGTATCAGCTGCCATGGATAGTAAATCATTATTTCAAGATATTACATTTGGATTAAATAATGGTATTTCCGGTTCAATTGCTTTACTAGCCATAGCGGATGCACTACAAAAGGTAGATAACTTGATTATTTCATGAATAAAATATCAAAAATATATTTACTAATTCAATGAAAATGTTTCATTGGATTTAAAGTCCCCAACGCCAGTTAAAGATTATAAAAAGCATATATTATTTACATTATTTTCTGGAGAATCATGGGGGTATTCTGGATCGCAGAGATTCGTTAAAGATATTTTTGAACCATTTGAATGTAAGCAAAATAGTACAATACCAACAGTATCTTGTGGTTTTGATACTGGACGACTCGGTGGATGTACCTTTCCTTGTTTTGAAGATATAGATTTTAAAAGAATAAATTTTAATCAGATCGATTCTATATTTGAATTAAGTAGCGTAGCAGCAAAAGGTGAACAAGAATTAAAGTATTTCGTACATGTTGATGATGAGAATAATATAAAGAACAAATTATTGGTGCAAGGATTAGGAAAGTTGTCGGCTGGTGGAGGGACAGGGAAGGGAGGTGCTGGGTTTGTCAGAAGTGCTAGTGAGGATGGCATAATCAGAAAATTACCACCTAGTAGCTCTATGGCTTTTTTGGAAAAAAACAGAAATATACCATCCGTGGTTATTAGTGATTTTCAAGCGAGTTTAAGCAAGTAAGTCGAGTATCTCGAGGAGTAGGTCAATTTATTTTAACGACAATCACTAATCATTTTCTTGAATTTATAGTTATAATAGTGAATACGACGATATAAAT